ATCACCATTCTCAATTTCCATCAACATTGCAATATCATCACAAAGAAAATTGGCACAACCTGATCTTCATTATACATTCAAACAAAACATTGTCTCACAACGCCACGGATCACAATACAAATGCCCAATTTAGTGAAAGAGTGAAGTGAATTTCTATCTAGTCATCATCATCGTCATCATTATGCTGTGTGTGTGCATTTTTTTTTCAAAAGCAATTTTTTTTTTTTGCATTTTTTTTGTCTAAAGCAATTTTTTTGCATTTTTTTGTTCTCTAAAGCAATGATTGTTTTTTTGCTTTTTTTTTTTTTTTTTTTTGTCTAAAGCATTTTTTTTTTTTTTTTTTTTTTTTTTTTTTTTTTTTTTTTTTTTTTTTTTTTTTTTTTTGGTGATGCAGGTTTATACAGTAGTGGTGGTGTGACTGAACCTGTTTCTTGAGGCGACTCGAAAGAGGCAAATCAGGAGAGAGTAAAAGCGAGGAAAAAAAAATAGAGTAAGAAGTTTGAGTCTTACCTGAAGAACACGGCAACTAAAAGAAGTTTTTTTTTCTTCTTTCTTTTTTATCTTTGGTGAAATAAGTGATTTGTTTTTATTTTGTTTTTTTTTTCTTTCTTTTGAGTGTGTGAGATAGAGAGGAATACAGAATATAAAAGTCAGTTGTATATATGCATATATAGAAAATAGACATGTATGTTTTTGATGGAGAGAGAGAAGAGAGAGAGAGAGAGAGAGAGAGAGAGAGAGAGAGAAGAGAGAGAGAGAGAGGAGAGAGAGAGAGAGAGAGAGAGAGAGGGAAGAGAAGGAAGAAAGAAAGAAAAAAGAAAGAAAGAAAGAGAGAAATAAGAGAAAGAGAGAATATTTTGAGAAAGGGATATATCTAAATAAGAGAAGATATGTAATATAGAATCAGAGATGTCATAGAGAGATAGAGAGCAGACAGATATAGACAGAAACAGACAGACACAGCTCGTGACAGGAGAGAGTAGATGCCTAAGTACAAACGCTGTAGAAATACCATTTACCTATTTACATTTGTCATTCTTTAGAGACATAGAGACAAAAGATACAAAAGGAAGAAGCTGAAGATTAAAGAGAAAAAGAAAAAAACAAAGAAAAACAACAAGATGAAACGCACAAAAGTCGAAAGACAAAAAGAAAGATAAAAGACGAAATGAAATGAAATAAAAACAATAGAAAGAAAAAATCCAAACAAACAAAGATGAACACGAAAAAAGACGAAAGACAAAAAAAAAAAACGAAAAAGAAAAGAAAAACGAAATGAAATAAAAGAAGAAGGAAAACCAAAAGATGAAAAAAACAAAAAAAAAAAACAACTAAAATTGAAAAAAAAAAAAAAATTAAACAACCAGAAGACGGGAGCCAAGAAGGGACAGGAAAACACGTCTCAAAAATGTCTTAAGAAATTGCCAGACTTTGAACTCGTGGGGAGAAATTACGAGCACATTACAAGACTTTATGGCTACGGCTGAAGTTTGGGGAAGGAGAGAGGAGATCAAGGGAAAATAAAGACTAGGAAGAAGGAAGGAAGGAAGAGAGAGGAAGGAAGGGATTAAGGGAGGAGGGATATAGGAGGGAGGGGGGGAGGCAGGAAAGGAGAGTAGGGAGAATAGAAAGGAGATCAATAGAGGATAAAAGAAAAGGAAGAATTGGAAATAGAGTAGGTTATGAGATGGAAAGAAAGTAGAAGAGGGAGGGAGTTAATGAAGGATTGGAATAAGGAGGGAGGTATGGTAGGAGGTGAGAAGAGGGTGGAGAGGGGAAAGGGGGAGGCAGGCCAGGAGGTAAGGAAGGGATGAACAGAGAAGGGAATTTATGCAGGAATGATAAAGACTAGAAGAAAGGAGTGGGGAAAGAAGAATGATATAAGAGTGATAATATAGGATACTAAGACGGGAAGGAAGAGGAAGGAGGGCAGGAAGATGCAGAAGGGTGAGTAGAAATGGTAGCGAAGGAGTGGATTGTAATGAGGAGAGTGAAGAAGAGGTGGAGAGATGGAAGGAGGAAAGGGGAAAGCAGTAGAAAGTGAGGAAGATGAAGTGAGGAAAGAAGGGGAAGAGATAGGTAGTGAGAAGAGGAGGTAAGGAGAAGAGGGATTTCATAATGGGAATATCAAGACATATAAGAAGAATAAAGAATGAGAGACGAGAAGGAAGTGAATAAGGGAGAGGGAAGATGGAAGTAATAAGGAGACAGTAAATCTTTGCATAACGATGGGAAAATGCAAAGGATCATAGGAAAGGATGAGAGAAGTAAAGAAGAGGAACAGGGATATGGGAAAGTAAGGAAGAGAGAGGGAGAGAATCAAAAGGAAATAAAAATCGAGAAGAAAAGAAGGCAGCGGATGCATGGTAGGCAGAATAGGTAAGGAAGGAAGATAGGTAAGTACGAGGGAAGAATAAAGCAGGAGACTAACAAGAAATAAACTAGATATGGAATAGATAGAAAGAGGGGATAGATGGAAGAAGGAGGGGACGGGGCGAGAGAGAGGAGTTTTGAGGAAGTAGAAGAAAGGAGAGAGCATAAGAGGGAAAAAAGAGAAGGGAGCCCAAAAGCGAAAAATAACTATTTTACTTACGCAGAAAAAAAAGGAGGAGTATGGGTTAGTAAAGAGGGATGAAAGAAGATAAGAGTTATGGGGAGAAGATAATATGGCGAATTTGATGGAATTAAGGTGGAACGTTTGCACACAAAACTGAGACAGCCACCGAATATTTTGTGACAATACATCCTGGCTGGCGGGGATCCACTGATAGGAAATGTAATACCTAAAAAGGGCAAAGATGAGAAGGTGAAGAGGGAGAGAGAAGAAAAAGAGTCGGGCATTTGGTTGAATGAAAAGACCGAGGATAAGAAAGAAAGAGAAAGGCCGAGAGAGTTAGAGAAGAAAAGAAGAGAGAAAAAGCGAAAGAAGGAATAAGAGAGATGACCGTGAGACGTAGAGCAGAAGATAGTGAAGAGAGAGAGAGAAGATAGAGTATGAAGAGAGAAGAGAGAGAGAGGAGGAGAGAGAGAGTAGAGAGAGAGAGAAAGAAAAAGAAAAAAAAGAAAGAGAAATAGAGAGAAAAGGAGAAAATAGGAAGGAGAAAGAACGATAGTAAAGGAAAGGAGTAATGAAGAAATTATTAACAGCGACAAGAGACAAAACGTAAAAGTAAAAAGACAGCACATCAATTATGAAAGAAGAAGAAAACTAAAAGAAAGAAGGAAGAGAAAAGAAATGTATAAACTGATAGGTCCATCAGAATCGTGGAAACGATGAGCAGGACACTTGAAATAGCCAAACCCAGTAAAAAATGAAAGGTAAATGGAAGGAAATGCATTAACACTAAGTAAAAGATTGAATTAACTGAGTTGAGGGATAAATATTACCTGAGGAAGCGAAAACAAGAGAGCAGAATCAAAGCGCAGTGTTTAGGTCCGGCGCTTATTGTGTTTGTGTGTTTTGTGTTGTTTTGTTTTGTGTGTTTGTTTTCGTCTTGTCTCTNAGATAGAGACGAGAGAGAGAGATGAGTATATGAGGGAACTATTCTAATTATTATTTATTGATATAATTAATTTTAAGGAGAGAAGTAAGAAATATTAAGAGATGGTCTTAAGATTTGCCTCTTATACTGTTTACAGAAAGAGCGGATCAACTCCCCACACTCGCTAAAGCTTTCCCAAAAAAGAGCGTGATAAAGCAAACTGCGGGGGGATTAGTCCTATATGTTAGGTGCCCTAACTAACTCTAAAAAGCCATGTTTTTTAAACTATAAAGTTTAGCCTCATTCCCAAGTTTGGTTTGGCGAAGTCTGCAAGATTTTAAGTAGTGACCCCTGGTTTCTTAATAGTGCTGTTGGGAAAAACATTAGCAATTGCTTTTTTGATTTTGTTGAGAAAGAATGGTCTGCTTGCAAATTTTTATGGCATGTACCGAGGTACCGAGTATATAATAAATATTTAATTTATTATTATGTACAGTTAATACTTTTATTTGACCTTTTAACAGTCTTTTTATTTACAATTTATATATGGTAAAGCTATTCTGTATTATGAAACAGCTCTATATTCACTCACCCATACTGTCCAAGTCATAGAAAGGGACTCTTATATGCATAATAATATTAATGCAAAATTTCTGATGTAAGAGTCTGTCCATGGGGCTTAGGCAACTTTTTGCACAAGGTCACATTATATTACATGTTTATAAATCTGTAATTTATTTTTATCATTTACTAAAATTCTTTTTAAGAAAAAAAGGAAAGTGTGTAGCAATAAAGATATTGTATATGAATGTCAAAAATACCAAACGTATGTAAGCAAAAGTATTAGAAGTCAGATGAATAGAATGAAAAAGAAACAGAAATTGGAGTTCTCCAGAGCCTTGGGTGAGTTGCCAGTTTGATTCTCTCACTCACTCTCTCTCTCTCTCTCTCTCTCTCTCTCTTCTCTCTCTCTCTCTCTCTCTCTCTCTCTCTCTCTCTCTCTCTCTCTCTCTCTCTCTCTCTCTCTCTCTCTCTCTCTCTCTCCTTTCCTTTCTCTTCCTTTCTTCTCTCTTTTTTTCTCCTCCCCCTCCTCTCTCTCTCTCTCTTCATTTTATTTCTATTTCTCTCTTTTTTCTTCTCTCTCTCTCTTTCCTTCTTTTTTCTCCTCCCCTCTCTCTCTCTCTGCGTGTGTATGTGTGTGTGTGTGTGTGGGGGGTGACATCCTTTTTTGCAGAGCATCTATTGTTTTTAGTTTATTGTAGTCAAACTTGAATATATGTACTTTTGGTTGGAAGGATCATGCATGTTGTTTTATTTTGAATCACTTCGTTATCCTTCTTCCATGAATTGAGGAGTAGGAATTATTTATGTGCTGACATATACAGACAACAAGCAAACACAAAATGCAGAGATACATATTATGAAAAATGGTAGGGGTAAAATATGAATTACTTAGTATAAAAATAGTTCTCAAGTATAGAACAGCCCAAATGCAAAGAGGTAAATAAAAAAGACACATACAAAAAAATTAAATAGTTTTCTTACATAGTATTAACAAAATGTTTTGTATAAACAACTGGCACCATCTGACAACTGGAACATTCCATCTATACAACACATCAGGAATGTTGAATAAATTGTACATACACAGCAACAATGTCATTCCATACAATGGCAGATATTCCAGATTTATATCAAGGCCGCCAACCAAGAACTTACATCTAAATAAAAAACATTTTAGGAAATTTCTCTCTTACGGCTTTCTATTCCCTAAGCTGGCAATATTTGCAATAAATAAAAAAAAAAAAATCAGATTGATTCTTCTTGAATGATTCCTGGGAGGAATGTCAACAAATTTACTGTCTGTAGATGTGTGTTACAAAGAACCACAGGGGTTCAGCTTGGTTTGTTCACCTTGCTTTTTAATATAATGCCAAATGTATGATAGATACTGGAAACAGAATAACAATAACAGTAACAATAATACTTTCTACAAAAGTTTATCACTGAATGCATTTAAATATCCATGGCAAAGAAGGAATATATACAACAATAAAGCTTAAAGTTTTCATGAGCCAAAATGAGGCCTGAACACATTCATCCAAGAACCGCAGGGTACATCTTGAATGGGGCAGATCTAGGTGTGAATCTTATCCGTAAAAGAAAGCTCTTGACTGAGGGCGAAAATTTCTGGGTCTCAAGCGAGCGCCGAAAGGCAGACTCTGAGGGGTGTTTAGGAAAGGCAGCGGAGGAGCAGCCAGGCGAGCTTGTCTGAAGGTCGGCTCCAGTGGGAGGTCGAGAGTGACTGAACCCTGGGAGATGAGGGGGACAGGCACGGGCTGAGGAATCTCGGAGGGCAGGGCTCGGCCGGAGGGCTCGATGGAACGAGCGGCGGCGAAGGACGACGCTGGGGGAGCTCGGCGGCCCGAGGCAACTACGGGCGTTGCGGGAGGGGCCAAAAGGGCAGGGCGTGCGAGCTCTTCCAGGGATAGGCCTGTGGGTGAGAGGTTGATGTTCAGCAGGGAGTTCTGACCAGGCTGGATGCTCTGACTGACTGTGTCTGTTGGGTTTTCATCCACCAAGAAGACCTGGCTGGGGAGGAAGCCGTCTCCAGAGACAGTTCCTTCGCTCTCCTCAAATTCCTGGCTTGGCTGGAACTCGCTCGAGTTTGGGATATCTTGGCCTACAAGGAATATCTGATCATCTTCCGACGCCTCATCTGGGATGCTGACAAATACTGACTGATCATTAAGGTTGCCTCCATCATTGGTAAGAAAAATGTCGCCGGAGGGAGCTGTGAGCGTAGTTTCAATTTCCTGGAGAGATTTAGCTCCAGAGTCACCGAGCGTCTGGAGGTTTCCCTCGTCATCAAGGACAACAGAAGCCGTCGTAGGGGCGAGCGTATCTTCAGGTTTGTCATCGTCGGGTATCACGATAAACAGAAGGTCATCCTCGTTACTTGCAACAATCTGGCTGGTAACCCTGACGTCAGTTTCGGCCGAATCGTCGTCAATAAATATAACGCTTCCGGGTTCAGCTGGATTTAAAGCATCAAAGCTGCCACCAAGGTCGTTCACGTCGCCAAGCTCATCTTCTAAGTCATCCTCATCAATGACAATGATGCTACCAGGATCAACGTCACGAAAGCCATTGGCATCAACACTAGCTTGGTCTTGCACAAGAGCGCTAAAGCTTGGCTCGCCCAGAACCACAGGAACTTGTGTAGGGCCCGCATGGAGAGTGTTCCTGATGGCTGTCTCAGGTATAACGTTGCTTGTGACAGGGGGAGTGTATCCTGTTGCTGGAGGAGGAGCAGCAGCTGTGTATCCTGTTGCTGGAGGAGGAGCAGCAGCTGTGTATCCTGTTGCTGGGGGAGGAGCAGCAGCTGCTGGCTGAACACCAGAAACAATGTCATCAGGACGAGGTGGGGCGTATCCTGAGGATTGTGGCGCAATCGCTGTTGGGGCGTTATAGGTTGGAACAGGGGCAGGGGCAGGAGCAGGAGCAGAGGGATAAGAAGGAGGAGGCGGCAGGAGAGGAGGAGCAGCAGCAGCGGGCGGGTTGTACGCTGCAGGAGGTCCCTGTGAATTCACCACCGAATTTGGCTTAGGCGCCCCAAAGCCAGGCTGGTGAAGTGGAGGGCGATGGGACTGTGGAGGGGGAGTGGTGGGCACCCACTTTGCTACGTATTCCGGCCGCTCTTTGGGTATCCACCGGGGAATGAAAGGAGGGCGCGGGACGAACAAGGGAATATTATCAGTGTTTCCGCGTCCCAGCCACTTGAAGGATCTACTGCGACCCGCCGGACGGATGATGAAGTTGAGAAGGTTGCTACTGTAGCTCGCCAGAGTTATGTCCATGGTTAGTAGGGAACAGACCAGCAAAAGGGTCAC